GTTTAAAAAGCAAACACCGATTCCAAAGTGCTAGTCTTTTCATACCCAGTCCTCCATTTTTAATAGGTAAACAAACCCTATCCCAAGATACTCGACATTTTCCCAGCTCACCCTCCGCTTTATTCCATAAAAAATTACGGAACAGCTGTTCAATTTCATGGATTGTGGCTGCTGGTACTAGAAATACCGACATCCAAAAAGTTTGCATAGAGTGAAGAACAGAGATGATGAGCTGACGTCTACCCCCATAAGAAAGAAATTTGTTTTTCCAATTCAGCAAGCGAGATTTAAGTTTAATCACAAGTGGGTTGAAGTCACGTACCTTCAATSTAACTGGAGAGAGAGGAACTCCAAGGTAGCGAATAGGAAATACCCCCGGACGAAAAGAAAGGCAGTTGCGAATGATATCTTGAACATCCAACCCGACATTCCCGAAAAACACTTCACTTTTTTCGAGACTCGGTGACAAACCCGAACCTTCCTCAAACATTTGGAGAGCTCGTTTTTTCACTTCAACTGAAGTAGCATCCCCCCGAGAAAAGACAAAAAGATCATCCGCAAAACATAAATGGGTCAGCTTGATTTCATCACATCCTTGATGGTACGCAAAATTCACCTCTTCATCAATACATTTTTTTAAAATCATCGACAATCCTTCCATAACCACCGTGAACAAGTAAGGAGATAATGGATCCCCTTGTCGAAGTCCCCGCCTTCCATGAAAGAAACCCTCCGGCTGACCATTAACACAAATAGAGAATGTTGGCGATGAGATTAGAGAYTTTATCCAATTAAGCATAACTGGATGAAAGCCCATTCCCTTTAGCATCCCAAGAAGATACTGCCAGTCAACTGTATCATAAGCTTTCCGTATATCAATCTTAAATGCACATTTTTGGCGCCCCCTGGAGTTTCTGGTAACCTGCTACAAGCTCATGCGCCATTAGCATATTATCAGTTATCTGTCGTTTAGGTATGAACGCAGATTGAGCCTTGCTAATAAGAACATCCAATGAGCCTTTCATCCTGTCAGCAATAATTTTACTGATACATTTAAGCAAACACGTTACAACAAGCGATGGGTCGATAATCAGTTACACATGAAGCATTTGGAACCTTCGGAACTAGGCAAAGCATAGTATGATTCAACTAGTACTCTAAATTTCCTGAGTAGAAGAAATTATGTACCGCAATAAGAACATCCCTACCAACCACACTCCAAGCCACTTTAAAGAACTTTGACGAGAACCCATCAGGACCTGAAGCCTTGTCATTCCCAATATCAAAAAGAGCATTCTGTATTTCCATATCCGTAATAGGTCTGATTAAATGCAGAGAGTCCGATAAAGATAAAGAGTGAGCAAAAGAACAATCCGCCAAAGAAGGATGAACCAACGTATTTGAAGCACCCAGAATACCTTCGAAATGATTAACAAATGCTTTTGGAACATCATGATGTTCAAAAACAGTACCAAAAGAATCCGTAATAGTAGCAATATGGCTCCTATTGCGCTTCTCTCTCATGGCATGAAAGAAGAACTTAAAGTTACCATCCCCTTCATTTAACCAAGAAATCTTTGCTTTTTGTCGAACCATTTCCAAGTGATCATTCCTAGCTTGTTGATATGCTAACAAGAGGTGAGCAATGTCCTCTTTCAGCATATCATTAAACGGATCTAGATCACAAGCCAATTGAGCAACATCAAGTTCCGTCTTTAAAGAAGCCACCTTCTTATCCAGACACCCATAAGAATTTCTAAGCCGATGGCAAACCCCTTTCATCTCTTGCAATTTTCGAAGTACTTTCTTCATATATGAACCTTTCTGAGGTTTCGTCCACACGCCCTCCACGGATTTAAGGAAATCCACATGAGAAGTCAAGAAATTATCAAATTTGAAACCACGATGTCTAATTCGTCTCCCTACTTTGAATGAAAGAATGCCCGGAGAATGATCTGAGATCCCCCTTGGTTCAAAGAGAACCGAGGCGTCCCCAAATC